TTAACCAACGATTTTATCCTCAATTCTGGTAAATTCAAAGCCCTTGACGATTTACTGCCTTTCTTTAAGAAACGAATCAATTGAGACCAAGATAGCAATTAGTGAAATAATCGTTATAACGATCATCTCATGTAGATTTACATGTTCATGTATATGAAAGTTTTACTTGATGTTATTGACAGAGAAACTGTTTCTGTGCAAATTCAAACAAGTAGGATCGCATTTAAATGGTTTAATTTTGTTCACATTTTATATGATGTGAGTGCTTACAACAAATATTTAAATTATACGAATGATTAATTGCTTGACATTCAATATCGATATCAGTATCTTCTAGCTCAATTTCTCGAAAGAACCTTTAATTATTAATATATTTCGCTTTTTGTCTAACAAATGGTCATTTAGCTCATAGAGATGCTTACAGTCAGTTCATTAAATGTATTATTAATACATTGTCTCAGTGGAAGGAAATTTTCCGTTCACTTTTAATTACGATTCCATTGAAAACGAAAACCTAAAACCAGAATTTTTGCTATCAATCGACTCAATTAATTAATCAGCTTCATAAACAATCATCTAATTTATCCGTGTCATGTCAATAGAAAAATCACAAAAAAACATTTATTTTCTGAATACTCATTACCAAAAGGTTAAGTTAATCACTTGATAAACTTATTAGTTCAGCTGAATTTTAATTCTATTTAAACTCGTTGGAACAAAACTCTCTCAATTTTTGTTCAATTTAATTAATCAACAAAACGATGACTTTATTTAAATGACTGTATAACTTTACACATCAGCAATTTCTGTATCAACAAGTGAAAATTTCATGTAGAAAGAGTATTAATTAGATTGTGATCTTAGTTCGTTTTATCACTAATACAATTAATAGTCAATCAGAATTGTGAATTTGAAAATTTATCATGAGTTGCACCAAGTTTTCAACTTTAATTTTATTTTTAACTGTATTAACAATTTCCTCGTTCATAAACGTCATCATATCACAAGAAGGCTCGTATGAAATCAGTGTGTCGACCAATGTACCGTTCAACGAAGTTCTTAAAATCCACAATGGGGAGGTAGGTACCGACACATCACAAAATGTCATTAATTATCCTCTCGAAATCGAGAAAAGCAACATGCTGTTTATGCTTGCTGCTGGCGGGACTAAGGTTCCTGCTGGTTTTGGCCAAGGCCCTGGTGCTGGTGCTGGTGTTCCTGTTGGTTATGGCCAAGGCCCTGGTGCTGGTGCTGGTGTTCCTGTTGGTTATGGCCAAGGCTCTGGTGCTGGTGCTGGTGTTCCTGCTGGTTATGGCCAAGGCCCTGGTGCTGGTGCTGGTGTTCCTGTTGGTTATGGCCAAGGCTCTGGTGCATAACGATAATAATAAGAATAATAAGAAGCAACAGTTGAATTCGAGATACAATTGATATTGAAATAAATGATAAATGAGATATTGTAAAAACATGTGTAACTCGAATTTCATTCATTACATTGCAATAACACAGAATCGGTTCTTTCTCGAAGACAACATGTAATTCATCAAATTTATTTGTACAGAGTAGTAGTAGTTAAACAAAACTCTCAAGGAAATTGTAGCCTCTAAAGTGTTGAATTTAGTTGAATCAATTATTTGTCGACTATTGATCTTGCCAAAGCAGATTCTCTTTCTTACGTCTCTTTCTTTTGTTCTTTCTCTAACGAGTAAACCACAACTTATGGCAACATTTAATAATATAAATCTATCAATAGTATATATTTGATAGCGACCCCAGTATAACTTTTGCTTTTAGTTAATAACCACTGAGTTGTATTGTGACTGTGAAAAAAGTTCATCATGAATTTTATCAAATGTTCAACATTTGCTTTCTGCGTTATAATATTTTCAATTTCTTCGTTTATAAATATCGTCAAAACTGATAATAGTAATCAGCCTATAGACAAATCGCTTTCACAAGATTTAAAACTTGTGACTGATCAATCATCTCCATTTAGTGGGGCTGGTGGCTATGGTTCTTGTTAAGGAGCTGGTTCTGGTGCGGGTGCTTGTTTTGGTACTGAATATTTTGTACCTAAAGCTAGCTCTGCTCCTGCTTTGGTGACGGGCTCTCAAACTCGTTTTTCAGTCATTTATGTTTTTGGTTTATTCATTTTTTGGTGCACGAGTTTAAGTTTACCTCGTTTAAAAATTATTGATTCATGCTTTCTCTTAATATTATTCAACGTCTCAATGAATAAATTATTGTATTTTGGGGATAAACTGCTTGAATCGTGAATCTATTTATCGATCGTTCGAATTATCGAAAACGAGTCCAATTATTGGAAAAGTTCAAGCTACACTATAAAATTTCAACCTTTCTAATTTTAACTTCAAAATATAATTTAATTAAACTTCGTCATATCACAAGGAAGGCCTAATGCTACTCACCTCGCTGCTATACTTACTCAGAATGTTAAAGTCCCGACCATCAAGAATAGTGGAGGTAACGTCACATCACAAAATAGTACAATTGGTGTTGATTATAACATAGTTCATGAATTAGATAACTAGTTGATATGTTTTCTCAAGTAAGCGCGAATGAAGTTAAGGCTGGAACAATTGACATGGCGATGGCTATTCAAGAAACTGAAGTTCTAAATACAAAATAACATGATGATTGGTTCATTCATTTCCAAGAGTCAATCCAAACTTATCCCATATGTTGATTACTGAATTGTTAGTGAATTGCAATAAATTTTTTCTTGAATAAATATGTTGATTCGTATTACTCTTAGCTATCGAAGCTCATAATCATTATTTACTTGATTTACAAATTGATTCAATTTAAGCCCTTAATGGTAACTAAGTGTGACTATTAAAAGAACATGAAAATTGTCCACCGAGAAAATGTGACTTACAAAATTTTGTATAATTAAAATTAATAAACTAATTCTAAAATAGAAACCATAACTTTTGTTATGACTTTTATGGTTTTACGATAATTCGGTTGATTAAAGTTTTTACGAGAGATCATCATTTCTATGGCGAGGTTTCATGGAAATTGGTAGGATTGAAGTTGGAAGATTTTTATCAATTTACAAACTGATTTTATTTAAGTTGTTTAATTTAATAATTATCATGAATAATAATTAACAATCAAAATGATTTTCTGGAGAAAAGTATTAACAGTTTTGTTGTGTTGTCATGAAGCGAGATGGAAGTTGAGACAAACCAAGTGATTGTAATTCATTTTTAAGTTTGTCAATTGTATCAGCCGGTAGAGTTGATTGTCGAGAGAGGATCCAAGCATCATCTGAGTTAAACAACAAACAATTTACATGAAATTAAATGTTAACCTTTTTCAGTATTGAATACTGATCACTAATTGTTTGTATTATGATAATAGACTAGTACTTACTGATATTGAAGAGACCCAAGATATCGTTACATGAGACAATTAAAGCGTAATTGGTGTAATCAGTATCAACGACCCAATATTGAGCTGCTGGAGAAACTATTTCGAGAAAACAATTCATTGATTATTATCTATGAATTATTAATAACAAACAATTAGACAAAATTAATACACTTACGAGGGAAAAACTTGACAGCCAAAACATTGTCCTTGTCAGTTGGTTTTCCAGTACCAACATTGAAAACTGATTTATCTTGATTATTGATTCCACTGTTGTTTACAATCACATTACCAGTCGATTGTTCAAGTTTGTAATTAGCTTGGACACATCGTTGACCTTTTTCAAAGATCAAATTGGTTCGTTCAATTTCATACCAGGTACCAAGGAACTGGTCAACAATTAAGCATATGATTATTTTCTCGGACTAAATTGGTCACAATTTAATTTTCTTACCTCATTGATTTTAAATGGTTCAGCCAAAGATTTAGTCTCTGGACATTTACCTGGTGTAACACTTTGAGCGATCTCATTTAAATTGGGTAATTGTAAATTAGTGTAATTAAATAGATTGGGAAGTAATTGTTGAAGCTGTTTGATTAATTGTTGTGGATCTAATTGAGCTGGAGCAGCCAATGTTGAGGTAACAAGGGCCAAAGTAAAAACATTGATCAAAATAAATTTCATCTTTAACGATTTTGATTCACTTCTAACCGCTGACAATTACAGTTGACAAGTTGACAATTAACTAACTACAATCAACTCCTTCCATGTAAATATATAAAGTCCATGTAATTATTGCTTGTCATTGCTACTCTTTGTTTACAGAGTATCTTAGCTATTAATAATTGCTAGGTAATTGTTACACTTGGAAAAGGGTAAAAATTACAAGTACAATTTAAGACAACAATACTAGACAATCAACTGGTAAAACTTATGATTGTAATTAGCTGATTGTGATTCTCGGAAAAAAGTAATCACTTTGTATCTGTTATCAAGAGTAATATGATTTACAAATCAATTTGAAATCTTTATTTTAAGTTAGTCAAATAAATCATGTTATGTTTCTAACTGATTTAATCTGATTAACTTGATTTTTTACCCCATCAGCCACAATCAACCAGATAATTAACTGTAGCAATCATTAGATTTGGGTTTGTTGGTTATCATTGTTGGTTTTTTTCCTGATTAACTGATTCATCAACTGATTGAATTAATCTGTATATTAATTTTTTCATCAGTTAAGTCATTGCAGGGGAAACAATTAACTGATTGTTTGCAGGTTCAAGGTTTTTTATTTATATTGTTGTTGTTTCAATGATAGACTGATTGATTTGATTCAGTTTGAAAATTATCAAGGATTGAAAGTTATGGGAAACATAACTCAAGGATTGACAATTAACAATGTTTTTAATTTGTATTGTTGATATTAATTAATTGTTTGAATATAATGGTTACCGAGAGATGGAAAAGTTTTTAATTATATCAACACATCAATCAAAGGTTATCCTTTTGATAGTTTATTAAGCATAACTGATAATTACCGAATCAGTTAAATTGACAGTTAACGGATAAAGTCACAGTTAATCAGGAATTAACAAAGACAATAATGAAAATTATAATCAAGTTAATTGTTTGCCTCTCAATTGCTGAATCATTTATTTCAGCAGCTCCAACAACAAGTGAAAAAGATTGTGGTGAGTATTGTTATTTGTTCAATTTAACCAGAATTTTTAAAATTAAAACAATCAACTAATTACCACGAAAAAATTAACTAATTTCAGTTTGTGGAGTGAAGTGATTAAATCGAGGATCCGAAATGGACACAAAGTCAAAGGTAACAAATACCCTTGGATGGTTCAACTCAAGTAAGTTAATCAAATGAATACAAGTAGAGTTTACAATCTGATTAATTGTTATAATTGATTCAGATCGTATACTGATCGAGATGAAAGTGAATACTTTCAATGTGGTGGCACATTGATTGACAATCAACACATAATTACCGCCGCTCATTGTTTTGAAAAAGATGATGGATCTTTCCTTGAAGCTAAGGATGTTGATGTTTACATGGGGACCAAGAACTTTATTGAAGAAGATGAAGATGAAGCTTATTCAGTTGAGAAGCTCTGGATTGACCCTAAATATGACGGTGACTCCTTGGGTAATGATTTCGCCATTATAACTCTGGCGGAAAAAGTTGATTTCACTCGGCACATTGGACCGATTTGTTTACCCACGACAGCCGAAGGAGCCGATCAGTTTACCATTGCTGGTTGGGGCAAGACAAGTTCAGGTAAAAATGCTCATTCTGCTACTAGATTGATGGAGGCTGTGGTCACTTTAGTTCCAAGTAAGTGTTGATTTTTATATTAATTATTTTCAATTTGTCATTTCTGACTAGTAAATGGGTTTACTTACTGTTTTTACTAAGGGATGAATGTGAACAATTGGCACTTAATTGGTTGGAAAAACTGAGCCGATGCGGTGAAATCACCTGATTTCAATGTAACCGAGTTAATTGCTGAAACTCATTTGTGTGCAAGAAATATAATCACTGGTAGCGATACTTGTGCTGGTGATTCTGGTGGACCATTGATGTATCTTGGACAAGATGACCGTTGGTTCCTGATGGGAGTTGTTTCTGGTTCATGGGTTGATTGTGGTGTTGATAAAAATGGTGCATCATTTTACACTAAATTAAACTATTATGAAGAAACAATCAAGTCTCAAGCTCCATCAGCTTGTTGGCGAGATATTTGATTGTCACTTAAATTGTATATGCTTTCAATAAATATATTTAAACTAAATACAGTCTTTTTCCTTCGGATTCATTATAATTAACCTTTTTTTCATTCGAATTAATTATCAATATGCTCTTACTAATACAATCAGGACTATACAGCCACGAAAAATGAGATGAGAACAAAAATTGTGACTTATAAGCATAGAGAGATAATTTTTTTCTAATTGTGATTACATTTTTCTATTACTTTCCATCTAAATCAATACAATTTCTCTTTTAAATTTGATTAAATTATCTCTTTATGCGCAATTGATATAATTTTTGTTCTCATCTCATTTTTCGTGGCTGTATTTCTTCATGTGATTGTACTGATTTTCATAATCTTTCGGTGTAATCATTTCTGAAGCAATTCTACACCTTGGATAATTTTTTTTATAACCTTCGATGATTAATTTTCTTTCTGGTGTTTTGATGAACAATTAGAATTAAAAATCATCTCCAACTTATGAGATCGAATTGGTACAGATCAATTCCTTTGAAAAAAAGTTAATTTAGAAAGAAAAGGTCAATTCTAATGAGAAAACAGAGATTAAACCTCTTCAGCCCTGAAGGAAAATTAATTTGAATGAAAAAGGTTTATTTCTAAAGAAAGAAGGTGAATCCGGAGGAAAAGACTGTAATAACTGTGGAAACATAAGTTTCATATTGGAAACAAATTTGTTAATCAAATTTAAAGTTTTCCGGTCACTTGACATTGGTATTGAAATAAAGATAGCCCTTGACTTCACTTAGCTGTTCAATTTTATTTAATTTAGGATATTCAATAATTAGAACGATAATAATCAACACATTAACTCGAGATATAATTCGAGCAGAATCTAAACGCATCCAGCAAAACCAATACCAGTGCAAAGAACAGATCATTCTAAATTATCCTACTAGAGTTCTGGTCATTGCTGTTCTCACGAACAAGTTGTAAGTTTATCAACAAGAAAAGTGTCACTAAGAAAAAAAATAATGTGAAAGGAGGATGGTCACCGAATTTTAGTTTTGAGTTGAAACTTTGTATATTTGTAGGGCCACAAATATGAAGTCCAAATATATATAGTTTTCTGATCTGATCAGTAGTTCCGAGAAAATCGAGTTCAAGTTAAAACTTCAAGTCGCTTTTCTCAGCAACGATAAGTTTTAGATCATGAAATTTTATTTTATCGACAACATTTCATGTTGATGTTATTGACTGAGAAACTGTTTCTGTGTAAATTAAAATATTCAAATAAAAAGAAGTTTCATTTTAATCAAAAAAGTTAATTAGGTTTGACTCTTTAGATGCTACGACATTTATCGAAATCAATTGGCAAAACTCAGCATTCGTCGATTTACTAGAGAAAAATTTACTTTTTTCAATTCTAAAATACAACTAATAGTCTTTGTTACGATGATCTATTACCATTTTTCGGTATATTGTCAATAAAAGACTCACAAAAAAACATTTATTTTCTGGATTCTCATTACCAAAAGATTTAAGTTAGTCATCTATTAAACTTATTAGTTCAGCTGAATTGGAAGTCTATTGAAACTCGTTGGAGTAAAACTCTCAACGCAATTAGTTGCTAAAGTTAATTTAATTATTTTCGTTACCTGTATTTCACTGTGACACAAGAGAAGTTGATGAATAACTGCATTTTTGCATAAAAAGGCATTTATTTGATTGTTATCCCAGTTCATTTTATATCATTCAGTCTATTTCCATCACTTATAGAATTCAATTAAAACTGTGAAAAAAGTTAACGATCAGTATCATGAAACGTTCAACACTTATTTTATTTGTTTTCATATTGTTACTTTCTTTGCTTACAAAAATAGTCAATGTTGATGCTAGTATCGATCTTCGAACAAGTTTGGGTGAAACTCGCGATAAGCTGGGTAATTTACTCAAAAGTCCACGGGAGGATGCAAACACGAAGTTTGTTGGAGAAGTAACTGCGCTCGTAGGTAATCTGTCTCAGGCAAACCCATATAATAAAATTTCTGGCAGCCATGCCGTTCAAGGCGGTATTCAAGTAAATGCTTCAGCTACTATTTCTCCCAATAACAGTGATCCATTGTTATCCGTTATCCATAACAGCCAACTTTCATATGATCGAGGTGCTGGATATGTTGTTGGTCGCGATGATCGTTCTCGATTAAATATGGCTACAGTAAAGTAAAATGCGAGATTTAAAAGCAGATTAACTTTAAATAATATAAAGATCTGTTCATCGAGATACATTTTGATGCATTGGTTAGAGTAAATAAATAAATTGTTTGATTAATCGTCTAGTTGATATTAACCAATCGCGCCATCGTTTCCTCTCTTAAAAAGAATCAATAATAAAAACGTTGAAGATGAATAATGAGCTGATACGATAATCGATAAACTTAAACATAGTCGGTAAACATACGAGATACTCAATTTGTTAATGTTAATAATTCGCTATCTTGATTGTGAGACGACAAAAGGAAGATGCAATCAACACAATGGTTACCTTTGTTCAAATAAATATACGTTTAGCCCATTAAGTGATCAAATTCACTTTTAATTAGTTGAAAACAACAGCGAACAGTGTTACATTTTGTCACTAATTAATCAGCTTTATTAGAATTGTCTATTTTTCCATATCATTACATGTGATAGAATTAACAAAAGAACCATTTCCTTTCTAATTAATTGGTAATTGAACGACTAGTTTTGAGTTGGAGATAATCACTTGACAGTTTTATTAGTATAACCTATGGCCAGAATAGATGAGACTCTTCGCAAAAATCGCTATAACTATTGAACAGTAATGAATTTTTTTCTTAAATTTTATATTCGAATAGTACAAACATATAATTAAGACATAAGATGAAGGTAGTTCAGTCGAGAGCTCTGGATTGACCCTAAATACCCACGACAGACGAAGGCCGATCAGTTTACCATTGCTGGTTGGGGCAAGACAAGTTCAGGTAAAATGCTCATTCTGCTACTAGATTGATGGAGGCTGTGGTCAATTTAGTTCCAAGTAAGTGTTGATTTTTATTAATTATTTTCAATTTGTTGTTATTTCTGACTAGTAAATGGGTTTACTTACTGTTTTTACTAAGGGATGAATGTGAACAATTGGCACTTAATTGGTTGGAAAAACTGAGCCGATGCGGTGAAATCACCTGATTTCAATGTAACCGAGTTAATTGCTGAAACTCATTTGTGTGCAAGAAATATAATCACTGGTAGCGATACTTGTGCTGGTGATTCTGGTGGACCATTGATGTATCTTGGACAAGATGACCGTTGGTTCCTGATGGGAGTTGTTTCTGGTTCATGGGTTGATTGTGGTGTTGATAAAAATGGTGCATCATTTTACACTAAATTAAACTATTATGAAGAAACAATCAAGTCTCAAGCTCCATCAGCTTGTTGGCGAGATATTTGATTGTCACTTAAATTGTATATGCTTTCAATAAATATATTTAAACTAAATACAGTCTTTTTCCTTCGGATTCATTATAATTAACCTTTTTTTCATTCGAATTAATTATCAATATGCTCTTACTAATACAATCAGGACTATACAGCCACGAAAAATGAGATGAGAACAAAATTGTGACTTATAAGCATAGAGATAATTTTTTCTAATTGTGATTACATTTTCTATTACTTTCCATCTAAATCAATACAATTTCTCTTTTAAATTTGATTAAATTATCTCTTTATGCAATTGATATAATTTTGTTCTCATCTCATTTTTCGTGGCTGTATTTCTTCATGTGATTGTACTGATTTTCATAATCTTTCGGTGTAATCATTTCTGAAGCAATTCTACACCTTGGATAATTTTTTATAACCTTCGATGATTAATTTTCTTTCTGGTGTTTTGATGAACAATTAGAATTAAAATCATCTCCAACTTATGAGATCAATTGGTACAGATCAATTCCTTTGAAAAAAAGTTAATTTAGAAAGAGAAAAGGGTCAATTCTAATGAGAAAAACAGAGATTAAACCTCTTCAGCCCTGAAGGAAAATTAATTTGAATGAAAAAAGGTTTATTTCTAAAGAGAAAGAAGGTGAATCCGGAGGAAAAAGACTGTAATAACTGTGGAAACATAAGTTTCATATTGGAAACAAATTTGTTAATCAAATTTAAAGGATTTTCCGGTCACTTGACATTGGTATTGAAATAAAGATAGCCCTTGACTTCACTTAGCTGTTCAATTTTATTTAATTTAGGATATTCAATAATTAGAACGATAATAATCAACACATTAACTCGAGATATAATTCGAGCAGAATCTAAACGCATCCAGCAAAACCAATACCAGTGCAAAGAACAGATCATTCTAAATTATCCTACTAGAGTTCTGGTCATTGCTGTTCTCACGAACAAGTTGTAAGTTTATCAACAAGAAAAGTGTCACTAAGAAAAAAAATAATGTGAAAGGAGGATGGTCACCGAATTTTAGTTTTGAGTTGAAACTTTGTATATTTGTAGGGCCACAAATATGAAGTCCAAATATATATAGTTTTCTGATCTGATCAGTAGTTCCGAGAAAATCGAGTTCGAAGTTAAAACTTCAAGTCGCTTTTTCTCAGCAACGATAAGTTTTAGATCATGAAATTTTATTTTATCGACAACATTTCATGTTGATGTTATTGACTGAGAAACTGTTTCTGTGTAAATTAAAATATTCAAATAAAAAGAAGTTTCATTTTAATCAAAAAAGTTAATTAGGTTTGACTCTTTAGATGCTACGACATTTATCGAAATCAATTGGCAAAACTCAGCATTCGTCGATTTACTAGAGAAAAATTTACTTTTTTCAATTCTAAAATACAACTAATAGTCTTTGTTACGATGATCTATTACCATTTTTCGGTATATTGTCAATAAAAGACTCACAAAAAAACATTTATTTTCTGGATTCTCATTACCAAAAGATTTAAGTTAGTCATCTATTAAACTTATTAGTTCAGCTGAATTGGAAGTCTATTGAAACTCGTTGGAGTAAAACTCTCAACGCAATTAGTTGCTAAAGTTAATTTAATTATTTTCGTTACCTGTATTTCACTGTGACACAAGAGAAGTTGATGAATAACTGCATTTTTGCATAAAAAGGCATTTATTTGATTGTTATCCCAGTTCATTTTATATCATTCAGTCTATTTCCATCACTTATAGAATTCAATTAAAACTGTGAAAAAAGTTAACGATCAGTATCATGAAACGTTCAACACTTATTTTATTTGTTTTCATATTGTTACTTTCTTTGCTTACAAAAATAGTCAATGTTGATGCTAGTATCGATCTTCGAACAAGTTTGGGTGAAACTCGCGATAAGCTGGGTAATTTACTCAAAAGTCCACGGGAGGATGCAAACACGAAGTTTGTTGGAGAAGTAACTGCGCTCGTAGGTAATCTGTCTCAGGCAAACCCATATAATAAAATTTCTGGCAGCCATGCCGTTCAAGGCGGTATTCAAGTAAATGCTTCAGCTACTATTTCTCCCAATAACAGTGATCCATTGTTATCCGTTATCCATAACAGCCAACTTTCATATGATCGAGGTGCTGGATATGTTGTTGGTCGCGATGATCGTTCTCGATTAAATATGGCTACAGTAAAGTAAAATGCGAGATTTAAAAGCAGATTAACTTTAAATAATATAAAGATCTGTTCATCGAGATACATTTTGATGCATTGGTTAGAGTAAATAAATAAATTGTTTGATTAATCGTCTAGTTGATATTAACCAATCGCGCCATCGTTTCCTCTCTTAAAAAGAATCAATAATAAAAACGTTGAAGATGAATAATGAGCTGATACGATAATCGATAAACTTAAACATAGTCGGTAAACATACGAGATACTCAATTTGTTAATGTTAATAATTCGCTATCTTGATTGTGAGACGACAAAAGGAAGATGCAATCAACACAATGGTTACCTTTGTTCAAATAAATATACGTTTAGCCCATTAAGTGATCAAATTCACTTTTAATTAGTTGAAAACAACAGCGAACAGTGTTACATTTTGTCACTAATTAATCAGCTTTATTAGAATTGTCTATTTTTCCATATCATTACATGTGATAGAATTAACAAAAGAACCATTTCCTTTCTAATTAATTGGTAATTGAACGACTAGTTTTGAGTTGGAGATAATCACTTGACAGTTTTATTAGTATAACCTATGGCCAGAATAGATGAGACTCTTCAAAAATCGCTATAACTATTGAACAGTAATGAATTTTTTCTTAAATTTTATATTCGAATAGTACAAACATATAATTAAGACATAAGATGAAGGTAGTTCAGTCGAGAAGCTCTGGATTGACCCTAAATACCCACGACAGACGAAGGAGCGATCAGTTTACCATTGCTGGTTGGGGCAAGACAAGTTCAGGTAAAATGCTCATTCTGCTACTAGATTGATGGAGGCTGTGGTCAATTTAGTTCCAAGTAAGTGTTGATTTTTATTAATTATTTTCAATTTGTTGTTATTTCTGACTAGTAAATGGGTTTACTTACTGTTTTTTACTAAGGGGATGAATGTGAACAATTGGCACTTAATTGGTTGGAAAAAACTGAGCCCGATGCGGTGAAATCACCTGATTTCAATGTAACCGAGTTAATTGCTGAAACTCATTTGTGTGCAAGAAATATAATCACTGGTAGCGATACTTGTGCTGGTGATTCTGGTGGACCATTGATGTATCTTGGACAAGATGACCGTTGGTTCCTGATGGGAGTTGTTTCTGGTTCATGGGTTGATTGTGGAGTTGATAAAAATGGTGCATCATTTTACACTAAATTAAACTATTATGAAGAAACAATCAAGTCTCAAGCTCCATCAGCTTGTTGGCGAGATATTTGATTGTCACTTAAATTGTATATGCTTTCAATAAATATATTTAAACTAATATATAAATAATAATTGTGGAAGATAAGTCTCATATTGTAAACAAATTGATTAATCAAATTAGATTTTCATCTGGACTCATCTTTTGTACCATAACATCACACTTAACATTTTATAGTAAGAGAAAACCTCTTCAGGCTCTTATGTTACTTGTAAGGTTGAAATTAGTAAAACGAAATCAAACTTAATATCAATTTAAAAGTTCCCGTTTTTATTCATGTATCATAGACACTAAGATTCATAGTTTCTTGATTGTTGAAAGGGTCACTTGGACTGAGAACAATGAAAATTTTCATAATTAGAATGAACTTTTGGTTCCAAGTTAACACTAACAATTAACCTTTATCAAACAAATTTTACTAATTTACCTTGATCAACTTTTTCCTTTTGTATCGAAAATTCTGTATCAAGTCTGTGTCAATATACAAAGAAGTGTTCAATTGTTTTCAGAGAGAATCTTATTTGATTATGCAAATAATGAACTTTATTTTCAATACATGAATAATCATCTGGAGCTGTGAAGCAGATAATTAATGATAGAAACGTTGAAGTGAACTATCAATAGACACAAATCGATATAATTAAACAATGTCAATAAACACAAGAGATAGTCAATCTCAATAATTCGTTACTTTTGCTTGTGAAACGATCTAAAGAAGACCATTGGTCAGTTGATAGTTTACAAGATTTATTGAGCATTACTGTTTCCGTTAACCGAAATGAATAGCTAATTCGTTAATTAAGTGAGTAAATTAACTTCCAACTAACGAAGACAACATCAAACAGTATTGAATTTTGTCACTAATTAATCAGCTTTGTATCAATAAGAATGATCTATTTTTCAATATCATGTCATTTCATGTGATAGAATCAACAAAATAACCATTTCCTTTCTAATTAATTGTTAATTGAACCACAAGTTTTGGGTTGGAGATAATCACTTGACAGTTTTATTAGTATAGCTGAATTTAAACTCTATTGAATCGTTTAAACAAAACTCTCAACGAAATCGTCACCTCTCAAATGTTAAATGTTAATTAACCTTCCTGGTCGCAAAGTTTTATTTTATCTGTGTCCCTATTCAACTCTACATATCAGCAACTTTTATTAGATAAACATCTAGAGAAACTTTCACCGGAAAGAGTATTCATTTAATTGCTATTATTAATTTCATAAATTCTAGCTGTTTTGACTCTATTTCAATTGAAGTCAACCAACTTTGTCACGAGTAAAACTATTCTGTCTGAATAACTGAATTCTATGAATTATCCATTTAAAAAGGGCATTCATTTGATTGTTATATAATATATAACTAATATTTATTTGAATATTTTAATTTGCACAGAAACAGTTTCTCTGTCAATAACATCAAGTGAAACTTTCATGTAAAATGAGTATTCCAATAATTGTGATATTTTCAAATAAGCTTTTTTATGGAATTACCATCCCATGAGCTTGAAATGCGTTCTATCACCAATGACCTAAATTACCTTGATCAGACAGTAATAATTTTTGAGAACGAAAACTTTCTATTATTAATTGACGATCACGAATTTATTGAATTATTTTGATCATTAATAAGCATTCTTAATTAAACAACTTAAATACGTAAAAATAGCAATAATAATAGTTGAAGCATTTTCTAGGACACCACCTCGAGTGACATGGTCTCCGACAACCACACTGCTTTCTGCTGAGCTTAGCTTAGCGAATCATAGTTATGAGGTCAGATATTTCTTTAATAAACGCCGAGTTAGGGTTTTGGACAGTCCTCTCCATATTTTTGTCCGAAAGACCTGGCATATCAGCGCCTGTCCCAAGACCATTACTATTATCAGTTTTGATGAGGTTTGAAAACAAGGAAAGCAACAATATGATAACATGCAAGGTAAATGTTGGATATTTAATGAAATTCATGGTTGACTTTTTTTTCACACTTTCAATTGTATATAAGTGATGGAAATGGACTGAAAGCTATAAAATGAACTGGGATAACAATCAAATATATAACTTTTTTATATGAATAATTCACAACATGCAGTTATTCAGAAACTGGTCTCGTGGTGAAGTTAAATTCAGATAACGAAGATAATTAAATTCACTTCATTAATTGATTTCGTTGAAAGTTTTTGTTAAATAGAACTTTAATTCAGCTGAACTAATAAGTTTATCAAGTGATTAACTTAACCTTTGGTAATGAGAATCCAGAAAATAAATGTTTTACATGTAACTCTCAAAGAAATCGTCGCCTCTGAAGTGTTGAATTTAACTAAATCCGCTATCTGTGTGACTATTTAATTTGCCACAAAAGCAGATTCTAAATATTATCATCAAATGAAACTTTCATGTAAAACCGATACACATTTGACTGTGGATTAAGTGTAATTTTTGCTTTTAGTTAATAATCATCACTGAGCAAGTTTAATTGTGATTGTGAAAAAAGTTCATCATGAATTTCATCAAATGTTCAACATTTACTTTATGCGTTATAATGTTTTCAATTTTCTCGTTTTTAACCACCGTCAAAACAGCTAATAGTAATCAGCCTGGCAATAAGGATAATGTAATAAAAGGATTAATAAGTTCGCATGATTCTGATGTTGATGTTAACTGACGTGTCTTTGGTCGTTCTCAGAATGGAAGGGGTGGCGTTTAACAAAACTCAAGTTCTAATAACAAATCCATTATGAATAAATCAAGATATGATCATGTCAACAAATTTTCATAAATTCCAGTTTATGAATTATTAATAAAATCAATTTTATCACAGATACATTTAATTATTCATATTTTTCAGGTTATCCAAGATTCTGACTTAAATAGCTTGAATTAATTTAACAATTTGATTTGATATTTTCAAGTCACTAGCCCTCTAGAACATTAAATTATTAACTACGTGTTGATTTAAACGTTGAACTTTGTCCAAATAATTGGATATACTATTAATAGTATTGTAAATTGCTCAGGTGACCTTTTCGAACACAATGAACAGTTAATGTCTGTATTAACAGCTAGTTTTAGATTAGTTTTTATTAGTTATCATTAATACAAGTAAACATTTGATTTCGACCTTAGTGTAATTTTTTCTTATAATAAATAATCACCATTGAGCAAGTTCAATCTTGACTATGAACAAAAATCTGCGTAACTATTGATCTTGCCACAAAAGCAGATTCTAAATATTAAAATCAAGTGAAACTTTCATATAAAACGAGTATACATTTGACTGTGGATTAAGTGTAATTTTTGCTTTTAGTTAATAATCATCACTGAGCGAGTTCAATTATGAGTGTCAAAAAGTTCATCATGAATTTCATCAAATGTTCAACATTCTTTTTATGCTTCATCATATTCTCTATTTTCCCGTTTATAAATATCGTCAAAACTGATAATAGTTATCAGCCTGAGCCACGAACTAATCTTCAGGATCTAGATATTTTAGATACTGCCATGAAATCTACAAAAGAAAATCAATCCACTATTATTGCTAGTAAGCTAAACTTTGGTCTTCAGGGTCGTAGTAATTGAGTATTATCCAGATGACTTCCATGGTGCCTATTCAAGGAAATCAATTAACTGAATCAAAAATACCCCAATAAATCGCCCAGCCATATCTAATGAAGTATAACAACTTATAAATATGTTTATTGAAGCACAAGCCAATGAAGCGGTGCGAAGTGCTGATGCTAGGCCAGTTTCTATTGCTGGCGCGCCTGGTGGACCTGGTGCTTTAGCTGGTTATAGTCAAGGTTCTGGTGCCAGTGCTGGCGATGTAATGCTAAATGCACAGATTTCTGATATGACTAGTCAATTCCTTACATCGAACGAAGCTCGCGATAATGTTTACAAATTGATTAATGACAGATATGATGTGACTTCTAATGCTGAAGCTGCTAGTCGATTTTTCGAATTATTTAACAAGACTATATCATAACTAACATCTTGTAAGATTGAACAACCTAAATAAATTTAACAATTTGATTTGATCTTTTCGACCATAATTAATGTTTGTATTAACAGTTAAAGATTGGTTTTCATTTGTAATTTCTGAACACTTGGTTCATTGAAAGACTATAAAAGTCATCGCTCTTCTGGTTTACCTGAGAGAAAATTGTAAGAATAAAGGAACTCATTTAAGCGTTTTATTATCAACATCGACTTCTACTCACAGGTACTGCAGAACTACAAAATATTTTCATAGCAGAGAAAATTGGGATGGGTCCCATAGGTAATAAATATGTTTGATCAAACAGGTCAAGGAATCAATCGCGTGGCTTCTGTTCCTTATGCTGCAAATCATAATTATGGTCAAGCTTCTGACAACTAATCTCGGCTTCTAAATAAAAATCATTAAGTTTCATAGAGATGTTTACAATCAATTCGAGGTGAACTCACTATCTATTGAGAAACAACTTATCGAATAAGTCTCATCTTTTAGTAGATTTAATTACTCAAAATATTTTTTCTTGAAACAACATGTAATTCATTAAACATTTCCGTTCGCTTCCGATTTCATTTACAAAATTTTTCGTGATTAATAAGTAGAAACCAGCCTTTTACTATGGATATAATGTTTGTCAATTAAATGGTGAATTAAAATTAAATTAAGCAGCTTCGAAAACAATGATCTATTTTATCCCACGTCACCAATGGAATCACAACAAAAACATTTATTTTCCGGGCCTCAAACACCAAAAGCTCCAGATAATCACTTGATAATTTAGTACAGTTGAATTTTAGTTCTAACAAAACTCTCGACATAATCGTTGCCTCTTAAGTGTTGGATTTAACAAACGTGAACGTTGAACTTTGTACAAATAATTGGATATATTACTAGTATTAATAAATTGCTCAGGTGACTTTTTGACCACAATGAACAGTTAATGTCTGTATTAACAGTTAATTTTGGATGAGTTTTTATTATTTATCATTAATACTACTTTCAAACGGGATAAGATAAGTTTCGAGTTTTGTGTGATTAAACTCTTCGGGAAGAAAAGGAA